ATTACCTTCTATGCCGTTGTGGCCCGGCACCCAGAGGAGGAAGACCTTGTTGGCTGCCGCCAAGGCGTTAAGCCTCCCGACGCACTCAAGAACCATTGCAGACTTGATTTCATTAGAGATAAGCGCTCTGAGTGCGGCCTGACTGTCGCTTAATATTAATATATTTTCATAACGGTACTTCCGCTGAAGATTGATCTCTGCACAAAGACTAATGGCGTAAACCTCCGCCTGGAATATGCTGGGCAGTTTGCCCATGGGAACCGAGACCCTTGTTCTTGGCCCAAAGATTCCAGCTCCAATGCCTTCGGGTGTTCTTGAGTCGTCTGTGTACCAAATAAGGGGGCGAAGATGGGAGTATTTATTTAAATTTACGTCATTGCAACTTGCCTTATTCCCTACTTCTACTTTGAATTNTTGAGTCGTCTGTGTACCAAATAAGGGGGCGAAGATGGGAGTATTTATTTAAATTTACGTCATTGCAACTTGCCTTATTCCCTAATTCTACTTTGAATTTTCTTTCGAAGCTAATGATTCTGCAGATATCATCTCGTGGGAGTTGAGTCAGGGGCAGTTGGGTTTTGAGGGATTCCATATTTCGAGATGACACCACTTTTCCTCTTCCAAAACCCTCCCTGTTGAAATTCATTAGGGATCGTTTGGCTGCCTGTTCTATACTAATGTGCAGTGGCGTCAGCTCCAGAATAACCTCCAATGGTGCTGTTGGACAGGTACACATTGCGCCTGTGATGCACACACACGCAAGTCGTTGGAGTTTTGTGAGTGAGCGCCTCACAGTCGCTAGGTTGGCTCTCGAGCCCCAGGCCACCGCCCCATAGGTTATCATGGGCTTGACTATCATGGTATACATCCATCTGAGAATCCGAGGGCTACAGCCCCAAGATTTTCCCGCCAGGCGTTTGCATACCATTAGCGCTTTTATAGCTCTGGATGTCGTTACATCGACGTGTTCCTTCCATGAGAGTTTAGCGTCGAACGTGATGCCCAAGTATCTCACTTCCGAGACGACGCCGACTTCCGTGCCATCGAGAGCTATAGTTCTCCTTCCCGGTAGGGTTCTTCTTCTTGTGAATGGGATAATAGCCGTTTTTGCTGGGTTAATTTTGAGACCCTTATCCATACACCATTTCTTTGTTATTCTTAGGGCCCTCTGGACTATGTCACAGAGGGTATTCTCGAACTTTCCTCTTGCTATTATGACGATGTCATCCGCATAGCCTTGGCATCGGATTCCATTATCTGATAGCATTTGCAGGAGTTCATCTACTACTAGACTCCAAAGGAGGGGTGATAAGACGCCCCATTGTGGGCACCCTTTCGTGGTTTTTATTTGCAAAGACTTATTGTGGTCTCTGCTATTCTTGTGCGCAATAGCGCTTCTATCCACCTGCGAATAGGTGCTTGTACTCCTCTTTTCTCTAGTGCCATGCCCTACCGCCTCATGCGAGGTGTTGTCGAAGGCCCCTTCTATGTCAAGGAAGGCACAGAGAACGACCTCCCCAGATTCAAATGCACTTTGGAGTTCGGTAGTTAGCTGATACAGGGCTGTTTCTGTAGATCGTCCTGCTCTATACGCGTGTTGGCTACTGTGTAGCGGGCTAACTTCCAGAGTGTTTGATCGGATTTCATTGTCAATGATTTTCTCCATCGTCTTTAGTACAAAAGAGGTTAAACTTATTGGTCTGAAAGATTTAGCTAAGGAGTAGTCTTTTTTGACTATTTTGGGTATAAATGTTACCCGGGCTCTTCTCCACACTATTGGAATGTAGGCTAGGGCTAGGCTATCCTTCATTATTTCTACTCCCTCTTGCAGTAAGGCCGGATAGATCCCGTCCATTCCCGGGGACTTGTATCGGTCAAATGAGCCCAACGCCCATTTGACTTTGGCTCGGTAGAATATGCTCCTCGCAGAGCCCCAGTCATCTGGGGTTGGTCTAAATGTTCGATCAGTTCCCTCCGTTGTCAGGTTGGAGGAGTCCGGAAAATGTGCAGAGAGTA